AGGAGGCCTCTCTATAGCCCCAGTTCTATAGCCCATCACGCCGCTGGCTGAAGAAACGCGAGGTTGTGTCCTAAAATCGCGAATCTGTGTATCCGCGAAATCCGCGATTCAGACAGTTATCCCCGTGCAAATACAGAACATCGTATTGCTGTCTGCATACTGAATTGGTCTCTGAACCGCCCTTCACAGTAAACCTGCGGTTTCTAAACCTCAGCCTTCTTCTCAGCACTGCTGTCAACATAACACTGCACCTTCACATCGAATCTCACCGCTGAAAGCAACGTTGGCAGCAGCGTCCGCAAATTCGGATGGAAGAAGAGATCCATACCGCAGTCACCCGGTCGCCAGCGCGTATCCGCGACCGACGTTGCCCATCCGACGATCGCACCTCTTAGATGAAATCAGCAACTTCGCATCAGTAGACTTCTTCGTTTCCAAAGCGTGTTTGAAACCCAAAAGCCACCTTCAAATTTCGTGTGGACCGTAAACATTCCAAGCAAGGCTCCGCAGCGTGTCCCATCCTACAATGCCTGATAACGCCGTGACTTTCGGCCAATCGTGCATTCTAAACGACGGGCTTCGGATGTGCTGACGTAGGTGCGAAATAGCGTTCCTCGAAGTCTTCATTCACAGGATACTCTAAAACCGGATTCTGATAGACACTCTCAAATCCGAAACTGTGATAGATACAATAGGAGGGCTATTGTAACCTGTACCGAGATAGAGCGCGCCACCCGACCGCTGTCGGAATCCTCCATCTGATACGCCATCACGACCTTTGCTGCACCTTTCCTGCGCTGCTGTGGGAGCGTAAAAACGTGTCCTAAAATACCGATCCCTTCGTACTCGACGTCATGATTTGGTAATCACATCTCCGTCAAGTTACGACATAGAAACGGGTTTCTAACGCATCAAGCACTTCTGTAACGCACCGCTCAATATGCCACTTATAGTTGCCGGCTTATGTCCAAGGAACTGCTTCACCTCTTCGGCATGAGGCAATATCCGGTTTGCGGTAATCCACCGACTTTCCATGCGTTCCTCTCCCGTTTGAGTGCGACTTCTTCTCCGAGTTTATCGTACATAACCCCTCCATTAGATCTATTAGAAATAAATTCGCAAATATCCCGACAAATATGGTATAATTAAAACGGCTTGGTGTCAACCCCGAATGCTTTGTATCGCGAAGCGTTAACAGAGGCGTGCTGTGTAGGCTCGCCCAAGGTTAAAATGGGGGACATTGGAAACAGAACAGACACTGGTTCTAATTAAACCGGATGGTGTTCACGCGGGCTATCGGTGAAATCATTGCTCGTTACGAACACAAGGGACTCAAAATCGTTGTGATGAAATTGCAGCACTTCCGCGCGAAACGGCAGAAAACTCTACGCTTACCCATCAAGGAAAATCTTTTTACGATGTCCTTATCGAATTCATAACCCAGCACCTATTGTTGCCTCGCCATGAGGGACGGGTGCGATAGAATTGGTCCGCACCCTCAATGGAGAGACCGATCCGAAGAATCACAACCCGGAATATCCGATGCGATTTCTCAATCATTATAAACATAAACAATTGTACACGCATCGGACTCCCCAAAGAGTGCACAGCGCGAATTGGAGATAGTGTTCACCCCCGAGGAGCGCTACAAATATCACCGAATGGACGAAGCAATCCTACATCCTTCGGTGGTGTAACTAATACGCATCAAACTGCGTTTTTTATTTACCACGCACAGTTCTAAAATCTCGTTCGAGAACTTTTGTGCAAAAAACACGAAAAACAGGTTTTCAAATCCGAACAACTCTTAGGCACAGACGGCGGGAAAAATGTTGATGCAGTAAAAGTCGAGTTCGACATCTCGGCAAACGCGAAAGAGCTTGAAATCATCATGGGTGACGGCGGTGATGGAATAGGCTGTGACCACTCCGCAATCGGCGATGCTAAACTCCTCAATGGCCAAGCACTCGCTGTTGAACCCGCTAACAAATTACCTACAATCTGGGGACATCTGAAAGATAGTTATTAGACGTTGAGGGTCTCCGTACTGTCGCAGTAGGCGGGAATTCCAGAATAACATCTTTAAACCTGATTTAGACGAGTTACATTGTGTACAAACACAGAAGGCTTTGTCTGAATCAGCAGGGTCATTTAGTTTTACATATTTACTTTATATGCGTGAACGTTTTTCCGCTGTAGGAGCGAGCTGTGCTCGCGATATTGCGCGAAAACCTTAACATCTGTGAACGAAAACCAAGATCGGAACCGAAAACTAAATAGTCCTAGAATCAGGTTTTTTCTTGCAATTTTGTGCTATATATGCTAATGTAATTGCAATGTAAGAATAAATCCCAATGCCGTAGGCGGGCGTTCTTCAAGCCGTCCATGGTAAACATAAGAAGGAAGAAACTATGAAAAAAGTATTATTAACCCTCGGCATGGTGTGTTTCAGCCTCATTGCTGTTCATGTTAGCACCGCCGAGATCGACCTCGAGACCGCGGTCGGTATATGGTTATTCGATGAAGGCAAAGGGGGTGTCGCTACCGACCTTTCTGCAGAAGGGAACGACGGAGAACTGATGAAATTCCCGGAATGGGTAAAAGGCAAGTTCGGGACAGCCCTCAAATTCGATGGGAAAGCCAGCTGTGTCTCGACTGGGCAGAAACTCTTGGATAGTCTGGAAGAGTTCACTATTCTCACTTGGGTCCAGACCGGCAAAGTTGCCGCGAACCGTATTGGGCTCGTCGGACAGAACGACTCCCCGGAGTTCGGCTTTATTGACCCGAATTCTGTCAACCTCTGGACACCCACCGCAGGTGGAACAACCAATCCTTGGAAATTCAAACACGATAATGGTGACTGGCACCATGTCGGGTGTGTCGCTACGACAGACTACGTCCACGTCTATATCGATGGGGAGTACATTGAGAAAAAAGGTGGTTGGGCAAACCACGGTGCCTCCGCCTTTAACGTCAATATCGGTGGGTGTGGTGTCTGGGATGCAAATGGCAACTTTTTTCCAGGCGCAATGGACGAAGTCGCTATTTTCCACTCGGCACTGGAACAAGAAGATGTTCAGGTGCTGATGGAGGGATTTCAGCAATATTTGGCAGTCGATCCTGAAGGCAAACTCGGTACAACATGGGGCCATATTAAGTCAACTCACCATTTCAGGTAGTAGCCCCACCTTTTCGCAAAACTCGTAGGCGCGCTTGATACAAGTCTAAGCGCGTCTATGAGTTGGCCTTCCGGCTCACGAAACCCACTTCGTGTACATACGCAAGCCGTTACTGTACTTTGACTTCGATTCATGCAGCTCCTTGAGCATTTCTAACGCCACCTTATTATCCGGTTCCAACTGTAAAACCGTTTCAAAGGTATTGATCGCCTCCGGAATATTTCCAAGTTCCTGATAAGCAACACCTATGCCCCGTAT